TGCGGTCCCTGCTGCGGCCGCCCAGCGGGGCGGCGGAGCTGGGGGCGGCGGGGCTGCTGCTGGCCGCCTTCTCCGCCTCCGTCTGCAGCTTGCTGGCCATCACCGTGGACCGCTACCTGTCGTTGTACAACGCTCTCACCTACCACAGCGAACGTACGCTGGGTTTCACCTGCGCCATGGTGCTGCTGATGTGGCTGGGGGGGCCCGGCGGGGGGGGCCTGCCCCCCCCCGGTGGCTGCTGTGCCTCGGCGTGGGGCTCCTGCCCCTCCTGGGCTGGAACTGCCTGCGGGACCAGAGCGCCTGCAGCATCCTGCGGCCGGTCACCAAGGACAACGCGGCGGTGCTGGCCGTCACCTTCCTGCTCCTCTTCGCCCTCATGATGCAGCTTTACCTGCAGATCTGCAAAATCGCCTTCAGGCACGCCCAACAGATCGCCGTGCAGCATCAGTTCATCGCCACGGCGCAGGCCACCTCCACCCGCAAAGGGCTCTCCACCCTCTCGCTCATCCTCGGTACCTTCGCCCTGTGCTGGATCCCCTTCGCCATCTACTCCCTGGTGGCCGACTCCAGCTACCCCGTGGTCTACACCTACTCCCTGGCTCTGCCCGCCACCTGCAACTCCCTCATCAACCCCATCATTTACGCCTTCAGAAACCCAGACATCCAGAAGTCGCTCTGGCTGGCCTGCTGCGGCTGCGTCCCTTCCACGTTCTCCTCCAGACCAAGGACATCCAGCGATGTGTGAGGACCGAGCACGGAGCGAGACGCGCTCCCTTGCTCTCCTCCTCCTCCTCCTTTTCCCCTCCGTCGTTATTGTTTCCTACCGGGAGGAAGCCCACCCCCGGTCAGCACATCTCGTTCCATGGGAAGATGGCCAAAAAGAGGAAAAAAAGGGAAAAAGAAGGGGGAAAGAAAGAGAGAGAGTAGAATGATAATGGTTTCCTTTAGAAATGTTATTTTCTTACACATTTTATTTTTTATTTAAAAACACAAAACACCAAAAAAAAAAAGAAAAGAAAAAAAAAAAAAAGCATAAAAAAAAAAAAAAAAAAAAAAAAAAAAAAAAAAAAAAAAAAAAAAAAAAAAAAAAAAAAAAAAAAAAAA